CTGGGTGGTGAGGACACAGTGCAGCAGGGAGGCTGGTGTGCGGACTTCCCACCCCGGGCACAGGGAGTCCCGCAGCCACATACCCGCCTTCCAGCGACGGTCATCGTCCGTAACCATGTCCACACCGCCGATGAGGTTGTCCCAGAACTCCTGCAAGTTCTCCGACTCCGGAAGCTTCCCGGACATACCGGCAATCACCACCTCCTCCATGGCTGCTCTGCGGGGCGGGCCATGTGAGTGCCCCACACATCCCGGCCACAGCACCCCCCGTTAGCCTCGGCACCCAGAATGGGCGGGCAACCATGGGGCCAAGCGCCACCCTGAGGGTCCATGTGGGCCCTGGCCCCGCTCTCGCTGGGAGGGGCTGCGTGCTCTGGGAACAGGCCCACCTCTGGGCCCTGACCCATTCAGTTCCGGGTATTGGCTAGGGGACCCCACTGGGGCCCTGCTGCCCTGGCCTCCCCAGGAGTTAGTAGTTTCTGCGCCTGTGTCGGCTTCCACTCAGCTGAGCCTCAGCCCTCCAAGGCTCCTGGAGCTTGTCCCAGACCGTCCCTAGGGGCGCCCGGGGGCTCACAGTGAGGGGCAGGCAGGCCACCCCAGATGGGGACAAGGCCCCAGGTGGCCAGCCTAAAAGGCATCAAGGAAACGGAGAGGCAGGGTCCCAAAGCCGGGGCATGGAGGTGGCAGAGAGCCCTAGAGGGGGGTACTCAGCACCCATGCCCACCCGTGCTGGGGTGGAGGCCTGCTGTCCAGGCCAGTCCAAGAGCCACCAAGGCTGGGGAGGGACGAAACGGGGATAGGCCTGTGCTCTGTGGGAAAAGGGGCCCCTGCCCCACTGTGGACCAACCCAGCCAGTCCAACCCCTCCAGCAGGGTCCAACCTGGAGAACCACTCCTGGCCAGGACACGCAGGTGTTGCCTGGCACCCCTCACCTGCGCGGGTGAACCCACAGACACTTGCTTGCCTCCCCATACCGACCCAGAACACAGCAGGCCCTCCCTGAGGCCCGGGTCCCTAAGACCCCGAACGGGTGCCCAGGCTGCCGGCTCCTCATCCACAATGGGGGCTGGTGCAGCCCTGGGGGGAGGGGGCGGAGGCCAGCCCTGGTCTGGCCACTTGCACGAGGCCCCAGGGCCTGATGTGCGGGCCGCCCCTCCGCAGTGCGGCCTCCTTCGGGCCGTCCCGGCAGGGAGGCGGCCGCCTTCCCACCCACCGCGATTCACAGAGGCTTGGCTGCCCCGGGCCGGCTCCAGGCCCGCACGCTGGGTCCTCGCCGCTTGCTATTCACGCGGGGTCGACGGCCAGGCAGGGGGTGGGGACACCGCCGCGCGCCCGGCCTCCCTTCGCCCCGGGCGGGGGCTGCTCGGGACCCCTGCGCTTCGTCCGGGCGGCGCCACGTGATGGGGAGGCCGGCCCCGGCGCCCACTCCCTTCCTCCCTCGCGGCGTCCCCTTCGGGCTGGGCCTCGGCTAACGGGGGTGCGGCCGGGAGGTAGGATGCGCGGCGGAAGGGCCGGCGGCAGCCTTTGTGGGAGCGCGGGGAGGAAGCCGAGCTGGGGGTCCTCCGGCCTTCCAGGGTCGCGGCCCTCCCCGGGGAAGCGAAGGCAAGCTGTTTTGGGCAGGCGCTCCCCTGCTCCGGCGTCCCTTCCCCGGCATCCGCCACCTGCTCGCGGGGTCCCGGGCGCTTCCGAAGAGGCTCAAAACGACCGAAACTCCAGGCTGGCGTGGGGCGACCCCCGGATACGGGCCAGGCCATGCGCGCCCTGAGGGCGGAGGATGAGGAGGCCGGGCCGCCCCCGACTGCCGGCCGGCGGCCGACACCACCACCGACCGCCGCACGGCCCCGGCACCAGCGCGCGCTGGCTGCGTACCTTGGTGAAGCGGCGGGCGGCGGCGGTGCGGGCGGCGGAAGAAGGCGAGGCTGGAGCGCGCGGAGCGGGAAGGTGAAAGCGCGGCGGAGCGGGAGGCCGGGCCGCTATGCCGTCTCTCTGGCTCTCCTCTAGGATAACCGGCGCCGGCCTATTTAAACAGCGGCCATCCCGGGCGGACCACGCCACATGGGCTGACGCTTGGCTGGCGCCTCCGCCAGGCCAATGGAGCGCGTCGGGCTGGCGCCGGGACCGCCGGCGCGCCGCCGCCGTTGGGGTGATGCCCGTGCTGCGCCGCCGCCCGAGCGGCGGGACCCTGGCGCGGAACGCGCCGGGGGGTGGGGCTGGGCCTGGGGTGCCGGGCGGCGGCGGGAAACCACCGCCCCCCGACTTCCGCTCTCCTCGGCGGGCCCGGATGAGCAACGGGCGGCACTGTGAGCCCGAGCCGGCGGCGCGCATCGACCTCCCGCTACCGTTGTTCGCCGGCGCAACGTGTGCGGGATGGGAATGCTTGGGCCACCAATGGGGGAAACTAAACACGGCGGCCACACCGGGGTTCCCGCCGGCCGCGGCGGGGCGCTCGGACCCACAGGCGCGCGGAAGGACGGACGGACCCGTCTGCCCGCATCTCGGCCGCCGACTCCACGCAGCCGTCGCTGCCCGCGCGGAGTAGGCTGAGGGCGTGGCGCGGCGGCGGCAGCAACCAATCGGGTGCCAGGGGCGTTCGCGCCGGTCCAATGGCGGCGCGCGGGTGGGCGTTGCTAGGCGATAAGGTGATGGGCGGGCGGCGGGGCGGTCCCGGATGCCGCGCGGGCCGCGGCGCGAGTGCGGTCGTTGACCCCGGCCGCGGGCACCCGGGCCGGGGTTACTGCCGGTCACCTCAGCGCCTCCCGGGTTTTCCTCGCGGGGCCGGCGGGGAACCCAGACGGACGCCAACCCACCCGACGGCCCCTCCTTGGCAGCCTCCCGGGGATGGGGACGAGGCGCAGGGCCGAACGGGCGAGCGCACTCCAGGCCGCTGGAGCTCAGCGGAGGGGAGGGGCGCGGCCACGTGGCCAGTGGGGTCGACCGGGACACCCACCTGGTGTGGTGCGAACAAAGGGAGCCGCTGCCCCGCTTCCCTGGGCAAAGGCTGCGAGTTTTTCAGGGCGCACCCACGGGTGGGGGCTCAGCCCGGCCCTCGTGCGTTCTCTCCCTCCCGAGTGATTTCCCTCCTCGAATGGTTGCCAGCTCGGCAGCCTGAGCCCTGAAGCGTGCCCTCCCTTTTCTGGCAGCCTCGCGCCTGCGGGGCCACGCACCCCACGGGGGGCAAGCGGGCCCTGTGAGGCCACAGTGTCCCTGGCTGCGTGTCCTACTTTCTGGGCTCAGGAAGCCCGGGCCGCTGAAGGGGAACCGGAGACTGGGGCCCCGGCCCCGCTGCAGGTGCGCGGCCTCCTCCCTTTCCTGAGAGCAGGCCTGAGGGTCACGCGGCCACTCCACGCGTCTTTTCCCTTCTGGGGCTGTGGTTCACGCACCGTGGGACGGAGGCTCAAGGAAGGACAAGGGGAGACAGGGCTGGGGCTGGCCCCGCACTGCTGTCCCCACTGCGGGGGCTCTTCTGATTCAGGGTGAGGTCCTGTGTCAGCCTCAGGCTCTCCATGCTCCAGACCTCCCAGGTGGCCCTGGGGGCTGCCAGTGCTGGTGGTCAGTGGCCAGCAGGGTCCTGCTCTCTGCAGCCTGTCGGGGGCTGGGCCAGCTACAGGGGAGCCCTGGCTGGCTCCCAAGGAGGTTGGAGACTCGTCCAGTACCCCGAGGGCTTCTACAGAAAGTGAGCGGCAGCGGCCAGGCTTGGTGGCTCACGCCTGTAATTCCAACACTCTGGGAGGCCAAGGCGGGCAGATCACGAGGTCAAGAGTTCTAGACCAGCCTGGCCAATATAGTGAAACCCCATCGCTACTAAAAATACAAACATTAGCCGGGTGCGGTGGCGCGTGCCTGTAGTCCCAGCTACTGGGGAGGCTGAGGCTGGAGAATAGCTTGAACCCAAGAGGCAGAGGTTGTGTGGGAGACCACAGAGCACTGAGAGCCCCCCAGCCCATCCCCAACTCCGTCTGTGGATTCCCATGAAGCAAGTGAGGGACGCTAACTTACAAATGCCTGCGCAGCAGTGACTCCTGCCTTGGGGACTCCAGCCTGTCTGTGCGGTGTGATCTCTGCTTGTCACGTTTATCCAGCCTGCACACCTTTGAGCTAGGCCAGCCGATGGCACTGTCTGTATTTTACACGGGTGTAAAGCGAAGCTGCAAAGGTCCCATGATTTGCCGAGGCAGCATGGCAGGTTAGGGCTGGGAGCAGCATTCTCCCATCGTCTTCCCAGAGAAGCTGTCTGCCCGGTTCAGAAAGGTGGCCCGAGGGTATACGGCAAGGCCTGTCACTTCGCCTAGCGGGGTACCGGCTGCCTCCACCCCTGCACTCTGCTGTGGGCAGAGTGTGACCAGGCCTGGGTGCCAGGCAGGGGGCGGGGGGGGGACAGAGGCAGGGCTTTGGAGGAGTGGGGGTGGGACATGAACCCCCGACAAGTCACCCTCCTGCTGGTGCTGGTTGCAGAGCACTATGTCCGTGTGGAGGACATGCAAGGACTCTTGGAATTGCTTTTTGGCGGGATAGTGTAGTGTGTTCCAGGCAGACGGGCATCAGTTTACATGTGTGTTTCTCGTCCTTGCAGGTACCTGGCCCTGGGCACCCAGGTGGCAGGGATATCTTGCTGTTATCCTTTGTGGGGGTGGGCGTGGAAGGCCCAGCGGTGACCGCTGTCCTGGGTTGGCCTCCACCCTGTCAGCGCCTGACATGCGCACCCCGACCTGCATGAGGCCCAGGTGCCCACCTGGCTTCCAGGGGTCACTTTGGCCAGGTTCACTGGTATCCAAGGCTCTCACTCCTGGGAGGGCTCCTCCCATGGCACTCTCGGGAGACACTTGCTCTGTGGGTGGGCTTTCTGCTCTGACCCCTACCCGCTACCAGGCTCTGAGGAAGAGGCCACGCTGTCCCCGACACCACCGGTGTGCAGGTGGCTGTGGGTGGTGACACAGGCAGGCCAGGCTCTGGCACAAGCACTTCATACTGCATTTCCCAAGTAGGACAGATAAACAACGCTATGGCCAAGCAGACGCCCCAGGGAAGAACCTGGTTTTAATGGGCCCGGCGCTCAGGGAGGCCTTCGGTCAGCAGGGTCGCCTCAGCACTTGGGAGCCTGTCCTGCAGCTCCCTGCCTCCACCCTGCACGCTGCGCCCACACACCCCCACCACGGAGGTGAAAGCGCAGGCACCATGCGGAAGCCCCGAGGGGGGTGGGGCGGGGCGGGGGGAGGAAGTCAGTCCTTAATGTTGTAGTTACGGATCTTGGGGGGCCTCTGGCAGTCTTTAACTTTTGCGGGATGAGACCGGGAGGCTCCTGTGGGCTTGGCCTTTGCCTGGGCTGCCGTCTTCATCCCTGGGGTGGCAATGCCTGCCTGCATCTTGACGGGGCTCCTATCGACTGCTGGAGGAGCCGGGAGCTCTATCAGGCAGAGACACGAGAAGAAAACAGCATGCGTCAGGAGGGGCAGGAGGCTGTGCTCGCACGCAGTGCACATGTGCAGTGCTTCTGTGTCCCCGGCCAGCGGGGGCCCTGTGACCCTTGGCCTGGCTGTCCTCCAGGAGACCATGAAGGCCAAAGGATCCTCCTGGAGTGACCAGAGAGCCGTGGCCTCGCCTTGCTCAGTGGGTCCTGCTTGGCAGGGCCTGGGCCTGCCCCTCCACTGGACACCTGGATATCTGGCTCTGAAAATGGTCCTGCCATGGCCGTTTCGTAATGGGTCCCAGGAGGGGGCGGGCTGCTGCGGTAAATGGTTGACTCAAAGCCTCTCCTCCCAGGCCGCCCGGGTGTCCCTACCCTCTGAGACACATCCCCTGCCCCCGCCTCCTCGATGGGCCAGCAGCGCCAGGCTTTCGAGGCCAAAGGAAAGGCCGCGCTAGTGGGTACCATGTGGCCGGGAACAGGCCAAGGGCCCAGGAGTGTGCCACACACAGAGGCTGGGGCCTAAATGCCAGGTAGCCCTTCCAAAGCATCGGCTGAGACCGTCTTCGCAGAGAGGTGTTGTAGGGGATCTGTATCTGGCCAGTTTTTCTCTATTTTTCATTTTTTTAATTAAGAATGTGGGTTTTTTTTTTTTGGTAAAACAGCAGCAAAATGTTACTACAAATCCATGGCAGGGCCCGGCGCTGTTGCTCACGCCTGTAATCCCAGCACTTTGGGAGGCCAACAGGGGCGGATCACCTGATGTCAGGAGTTCAAGACTAGCCTGGCCAACACGGCGCAACCCTGTCTCTACTAAAAATACAAAAAATTAGCCGGGCGCGGTGGTGGGCACCTGTAATCCCAGCTACTCAGGAGGCTGAGGCAGGAGAGTCGCTTGAACCCAGGAGGCGGAGGTTGCAGTGAGCTGAGGTGGTGCCATTGCACTCCAGCCTGGGTGACAAGGGCAAAACTCCATCTCAAAAAAACAAAACAAACAAAAAATCCACAGTAAGATGTGAGCTCAGCGTCCACTGAGTGGCCACATCGTGGCTGGGGTGAGGTCTAGAGGGCTCCAGTGCATGGCTGAGTGTGGCCCGGTGGGCAGTCTGGACAGGCTGACCTGGGCAGGTCAGCCGGCGGCCAAGGCCTCCTGCTGGAGCCCAGCCTGTGTGGTCTGCGTGCAGCCTGGCTGACTGGGAAGCATCTGTGCTTTGGGGTTGCCGGCAATGACGCACTGTTTCTCTGCTGGGCTGTGCAGTGCACATGGGGGCAGCCACACGCTCCCGGCCCTGCCTGGGCCCCTCTTCGCATCTCAGCTTCTTCCACTCTGATCCACTCTTGGGGTCTCAAGACACCTGGAACCAGTCTTCCTTTCCCTGCAGCCTCGTCGGCTCACACAGTCCCTGGCCCCCTGCTGGGGTCCTGGGGGGCCCTGGATGCTGCCTGCTCCCTTTGCTTCCAACCCCCAGAGGAATTCCTCCTCTTCACACAAAGGCTCCCACCTTATCTCTCGACAATAATCCCCCCATCCCCACTCCCACCCCCCACTCCCTCCCCCAGCTCCCCACGCTGGCTCGCAGAAGGTGGGGTATCCCGTGGAAAGGGTTTCCCACTGGGAAGCTGGTCCTCTGACCAGGCCCTAGTACTCCACTGTGACCCTGAGGGGTCTCCTCACACGCAGGGGCCTTGGTTGTCCCTCTCTAAGGCACAGGGAATCTGGAGGCTTTGCCCAACTTGATCCTCCTGAGACAATGCCTGCGGGGATTTTCAGAAAAAGTGAGCTGAGGGAGGGTGAAGGGCCTGCCTCTTTGCCTGGGAGGCCTGAGCTGGTGCTGCTGGGAGGACCTGGCTGTATCCCGGGGCAAAGCAGGGAGGTGTGAGTGGGGCACAGTCCCCGGGGCAGGGAGGGTGAGCTGGCCCCCTCCCCAGGGCAGGCCGGCCCCTAGCTCAGAATATCCACTTTGCAGGCTCTGGTTTCTTCACTGGTCCTTTTCCTGCCAAGCCCTCCTCAGGGATGGTGGCAGAGAACTGGCCAGGAGTCCAGGACCCCAGGGCAGGGTACAGCCCTAGGCCGGAGGCACGGAGCTGAATGTGTCAAGGCAGCTGCCCCAGGCGTGACTCCCTGTGACCCCGGATTCTTCTCCTGCCTGATGCTAATCTGAGGTCAACCCAGTAACTGGTCGGTAAAAACACTCTTGGCCTCCACTACTCTCCGCCCCTCCTTCTCGCCTGACCTGTTTTGCCGAGCATGGCCGGGATTTTGCTTTCTGCATTGGGCTGACTGGGCCGGAGGGAAACCATGTGAGCCACGGTTTGCTGGGCACAGCGTGAGAAACGCGCCTCTTGGGTCCTGCACCCCTCCCCCACCGGCTGCTCGTGCTCTGGCCCCGAACGGAGCTTCTGGAAAGTTCCTGAAACATCCAAGGCCTTGCAGTGATTAACCAGGGGAGGGGGACTGGGGCCTGCTTGCCCCTCCCAGGCTTACCCCGTCCCAGGGCCTGGTGTGTGCTCAGGCAGGGCCACCTGAGCTGGGCTGCATCCCCTCAGGTGGCTGCACTATACTTGGAGGGATTTGGAGACGGAGTCTCACTCTGTCGCCCAGGCTGGAGTGTAGTGGCACGATCTTGGCTCACTGCAAGCTCCGCTTCCCGGGTTCATGCCATTCTGCCTCAGCCTCCAGAGTAGCTGGGACTACAGGTGCCCACCACCACGCCCAGCTAATTTTTTTTGTATTTTTAGTAGAGACAGGGTTTCACTATGTTAGCCAGGATGGTCTCGATCTCCTGACCTCGTGATCCGCCTGCCTCGGCCTCCCAGTGTGCTAGGATTACAGGCGTGAGCCACCGCGCCCTGCCTTGGAGGCTTGAAGCTGGTGGAATCTCGGGGAGGACACAGCCTGTCCTATTGCAGGGGAGGTGCAGCCCTTGCTCCCATCTCAGCCTGGGGGCATAAGAACTCTGAGCACAAAGGGGACAGAGCTGGTCCCCAGCTTTCTGGCCACCTGTGGGTTTCTTCTCCTGCACCTGAGCCACAGCCCAGCTCTTGACCAAATTGGCCTCTGGTGGCTCATTCTCCAGGCGCTCCGGGCTCTTTGGGTGCCCCTGGGCACACCTACCTGGCTTCCTAGGGCTTTGGGAAGGGCCGGACGGTGAGCTCACGCCTTCCCTGGTTCTCCAGAGCCTGCCTTGGGGCTGGGGAGGGCCTGGCCCTGATAGCAGCTCAGGCCTCAAGTCCATTCTATGGCACAGAGGCCCTTCTGTCTCCCTGTGGCCTCTGCTGTTCTCTGGGGTTCACCCCTGGTGTCCCAAGGGCCCAAGTTCTGCTGGACCCCCTCTGGCTGCCACAGGGCTCCTCACGCACCCAAGATCAACCCTTCTCAAATGCACTGAATTATTTCGAAGTCTCTCGGGAACAAGGCTTTTCCCACCGCTGTCAGCACGGCACCCGGGCCTTCAGTGCAGACAGTGACAGCAAATGTGACTTGGCTCCCCCCACCCCGAATCTCCAGAAACTGTATGCACCTTTCCAGGGTCCCCACGCCTGTGAGGCTCACACCTCTGTCTCCCCAGCCCGTGTCAACCCTCACCTGCTAATGCCTCCTAATGGACACCCCACCCCTGAGCTCCTGGAGCTCAGCCCTGGGGGTCACAGTGGCCCTGGGGCTGCCTTTGTGAGACTGAGTGTGACAACAGAAGAGCAATGGGGTGCAAGGGAGGGAGACCCAGGTGATCCGGTCCCTATGGCCCCTCCGCATGGGGATGCCCTGGGCCTGCTCTGTCCAGCTGCCTTCCCCGCCTCACTGGCACATGGAGCCCGGAGCCCCCACTGGGCAGATGCACAAGAGGGGAGGGTACTAGGCGCTGCAGGATCCAGGGCTCTGGGCAGTCCTGCCACCCATCACTCAGCCTAGTGAGGCAGGGCCAGCAGGAAACCCCAGATCCTTCAGGCCCCGCCTGCTGGCCTTTGAAGCAGAGGAGAGGTGGGACTTCGGGGGCCTGGGTGCCGACCACAGGCTGACCCCTTGTTCCATGCCAGCACCTCCTCTGGGCGACCGTGGCTCCTCCCGCAACGGCACTGGCGGGTCCCCTGGTGCTGAGCCTGCCCAGGCCTGTCTGCCACAGACTGTCAGTGTTGCCTCATGTGGGCCCCATCCCAGCCCTTGAGAGGGGTCACCCAGTAGTGGGGTGCAAGCTGGGGCCCCAAGGAAGGGAATTTAAGGGAAACACTTCATGGGCATAAGGCTTTGAGAGACGCGGGTCTGTCCCTACCGGAGGCTGCATCGCGGACGGCAGGCACATAGGCCTCACTTGGGCGAGAGGAGACCCAGAGATGCATGGCCTTCCTCCTGGGCCGGCTCCCCACCACAGCCCATCGAGCTCAGCTCACAGGAAGGAGAGGTGCCAAGAACCCCAAGCACAGGTGGCTGCAGGCTGGTGGGTGCCGAGGAGGCCGCGAGGAGGCTGGGACGGTGAGAGCCAGGGACGGGCAGCGAGCTGGACAGCCTCTGGGTATCTCCGCACCCGACCCTGTCCTGCCTTTCAGAGGAGAAAAGGCAGAAGGCCCTGATGCCCCGGAAGGGAAGTGACATGCAGCAGCTGAGCTGGGGCAGCAGGAAGTGGCAGCTGTCTCAGCTGTTTTGGGGGCATGGGAACTGGTTTCCTGGTCCTAAAGTGAGGATGCTGGCCTCATGCCCCTTGGGCCAGGACTCTGCACTGAGTGCTGAGTGCCTGGGGTGGTGTTTAGACAACTTGTGGTCTCTGTTGGCACTGTCTGGGGACAGCAAAAAGCAGCATGGGCCAGTGTGCAGGGCAGATTCCAGGTAAAATTCATGACAAGGGAACTTTCAAAAGGGGCCCATGGGGCCCTCCCAGGTGTGCCAGGCCAGCGCCCATCTCCAGGTGGGCACCCTAGCATCTCAGGCCACAGACCAGCAGGTCACCGCCATGTCCCTGGGGAACAGCACTGCCTGCCACTCACTTTGGCTGAGACCCGTGTCTCAG